GTGAGATGGCTCGGTGGGAAAAACACTTGCCCCAAAGCCTGGAGATCCGAGTTCAATCCCCAGAAGCCACCTACAGGTAGGCGAGAGACCACTTCACATAGTTGTCCTCTGACCTTCACGTGCACGGTTACAGAAGTCTACTACACATCCGTAGTTTAAAAAACAATTTAATGTAGAAATAACTTTGTCCCCAGCCCCAGAGCACAGCGGGCACTACCCCTGACCTCCAGCTCCAGCTGGCCATTTTAATCTTCATGCAGTTAGCTGCCCATCTTTATGCATTGCCTGGTTTGTTAGTCGCAGAGTCCCCACATCTGTCCTATGCTTTCTTCCAGCTGTGCCGGAATAGTTCGGCTTGCTCCCTGTAGGTCTTCAGTTCATCTGGAATTTATCTGGAGGCTGCTGTGAGATAGGAATCTATTTTATTTTTTCCATATGGATGTCCAATTGTCTCCGAACCAATTACTGAGGGGTCGGAGCAGCCTCTTCCAGACCCTGGAACATTCTAAATCTCTGTTTGCTCACTTGTTTGCTGCTCCCTGCAAGCAGGCTGGACTGTGGACTACCAGCCTCAGGCTTCTGGCCTCCTTTGTCCAGATCTGGCTGCCTTTCTCTAGGAGGGACATGCTGAAAATTGCTAGGCAATGTACCTCTACCAAGTCATGATCAGACAAGGGTTTTTCTTTTCTTTCCTTTCTATTTTTAAAAGAGAACTCGGCTGCCTTCCAGCCCCTCTGCCTAGAATCTTCTGGACTTCTGTAGAAGGCTCTAGATCACCACACAGCACAGCCTCGGCTCTCTGCCTCCCCTCACCATGCCAGGCCTCCTTTCTTTACAGGTTAGTTAGGAAGCAACCCCAAGAGGATGTGTCAGGGAGGGCCTGGGTACTGCCTTTGAAGTTTGAGGGTTGGGTGGGAGAGCCCGGATTTGTGCCTGCAGAGTTGTGGGGGGCGCCCTTCAGAGGCCAGACCTTCTGTGAGTCTACCCAGAAGCCTGGATAAATGGGAGTGAACTCACCTCCCCACCCTGTGAGCCTGGTGGGGCTCAGTTTGCTGCCTTTCAAATAAGCTGTAAGCCATTTATGAATTCTTGGGAATAGGAGAATTAAATTTCCGCCTTTCTTGGATTAATAACAGTGACTTCCTGTTACTCTGTTACTCTGTCTTGTACTCTGCCGGAAGTGGGGACTTTCTTCAAATCCCAGTTTGTAGGTAAGCAGGTTAGAACGTGTAGATTATACTCTGACAGGGCAGAGAGACCTCTCCTCCTAGTCGTGTGGAGATGAGTGGGAAACAGAAACCTGTGTGTTGGCAGAACTGAGGGTAAACTTTCCCAGCTACTTCTGCTGAGAGCTTATCATCGTCAGAAGGGCTTAAATGAGATGGAGAATGGGCGCTTAGCACAGGCCTGATGCATGACCAAACCTCGACCACCATTACCTGTTACCCTCACCGCTGGATGTAATCGGACATGAAGGGTAACTTGGGTGTTGCTACAGATAAACAATCTTATTCAGGGAACAAAGAAAATGGATATTTAAGTAACTAAAAACAAAACAAAATACCCAAACTCAGATAGTTATATTGTACAGATTGGGTTTTGGATTTAAATTGTACTGACAAGCAGAAAGCTTAGGTAGATAGTTGGTCTCACATCCATCCAGGATCTCAAGGTCGTTTGTCTGTGGCTGGTGTTGAGCATCTCTTGGCTCAAGGTTTTCTGATCCAGGTTATGATAATTAGTAGGATGTGGTACCTTTGTCTGAGGCCTCAGCCTGTCTTTCATAATACCTGTAGCATTTGTAAACTAACAAGTATGTCAAACATCCAGGCCTTTCATTGAGGACATCCCAGTACTAATGAAACATGGGTTCAGGTGCCCCTTCATTTCATTTTTTTTTCTTTTCTCTTTTTGAGATCAGGGTCTCACTGTGTAGCCCTGATTGGCTGGGAACTCACTATGTAGACCAGGCTGGTCTTGAACTCACAGAGGTCAACCAGTCACCATGCCTGGCTGCACCTTTATTTCTGCCTTGCCTGGGGTTACTACATGAGTAACTCGGGTGTCTTGAGGGGGTGAAGAGAGGTGTGAGGTGGGGAAATGAGACCATTTTCCAGGGCATCGAAGGAAGAACAGTGTGCTAATCCCCCATAGCAGCTACATAAAGCTACTCCCCGTCCCCAGGCCAGGAATCTGTGACCTCAGAGAATTCAGCTTCCAAAGTTAAGGTATACTGTGTTGTGGAAAATTATTTTAACTAGGCAAAGGTGTGTTACATTTGTTTATGCTGCATTTGTTTAATTACATAAAGATGTGTTACATTTGTTTCACCTTGCCTGCCTAAGGCACCTGATTGGTCTAATAAAGAGTCGAATGGCCAATAGCTAGGCAGTAGAGGGATAGAAGGGCTAGCAGGCAGAGAGAATAAATAGGAGGCGAAATCTAGGCCGAGAGGAACAAGGAGAAAGAGGAGCACATGCCAGGTTAAGAGGCCAGGCAGTCGCCAGCCAGCAGACACAGAAGCAGTGAAAGTAAGACACACAGAAGGAAAGAAAAGGTAAAAAGCCCTGAGGCAAAATGTAGATAAAGAGGAACAGGTTTAAGTTAAAAGAGCTAGCTGAAAACAAGCCTAAGCTAGGCCGAGCCTTCAAAACTAATAATAAGTCTCTGTGACATGATTTGGGAGTATGGTTGGTGGCCCTAAAAGAAATAGCCACAATACTGTGTCTGCAAGAGGGCTCAGTGGGTAAAGGCGCTTGCCACCAAACCTGAGAATCTGAGTTCATCCTCTGGACCCACGTGATGGAAAGAGAGAATCAACTCCCACAAGTTGTCCTCTGACCTCCACAAACATCCCTGTCCCACACACACACACACACTCACACACACACACTCACACACACTTACACACACACACACACATACACACACAGGTAATAAAATCTTTTAAAATTAAGACGTGGAAAATGAAAACAGCAGAGGCTAAGAGGCAAAGTTCAGCTGGTGGTGGCACACACCTTTATTTTTTATTTTTTATTTTTTTGGTTTTTCGAGACAGGGTTTCTCTGTGTAGCTTTGCGCCTTTCCTGGGACTCACTTGTTAGCCCAGGCTGGCCTCGAACTCACAGAGATCCGCCTGGCTCTGCCTCCCGAGTGCTGGGATTAAAGGCGTGCGCCACCACCGCCCGGCGGCACACACCTTTAATCCCAGCACTTGGGAGGCAGAGGCAAGTGGATTTCTGTGAGTTTCAAGCCAGTCTGATCTACAGAATGAATTCTGGGCTGGGCGGTGGTGGCGCACGCCTTTAATCCCAGCACTCAGGAGGCAGAGGCAGGCAAATCTCTGTGAGTTCGAGGCCAGCCTGGCCTACAGAGCGAGTTCCAGGAAAGGCGTAAAGCTACACAGAGAAACCCTGTCTCAAAAAACCAAAAAAAAAAAAAAAAGCAAAGTTTTCTATATGAAGGGAGTTGTGGTAAATTTGTATTTTTGATTATGAAACAGACTTTTTTGTACTGTGTTGTTTACTCAAGGAATAGGAAAGAGGAAATAAGTCTGAAAGCAATCATATTTGTGGCCCATTTCTGATTCTTTTATAATGTATCTACACTCTTTGGGGAACTCTGTCTTGAGCTGGTGAGTCTTAATAAGGAACCAATCTTCTCAAGGTCTTATGGAGGAAATAAGCATGCAGACATGCTGGGCCTGAGTCCAGCATAAAGGGTTGAACTTGGCGAGGTGGGAAGGGTAGAGCAAGAGAAGCCAACAACCAGGAAAGACTTTCTGGAGGTGGTGGCACCAGCCCAGGTCTGGAAGTCTTAGTTAGGAATTGGGCAAGTGGAAAAAATAGAGATACAAACAAAATATTTCAATAATAATAATAATAATAATAATAAATTAGAGGGAATAAACAGTTCAGGATGGATTATATGATATTCAGTGTCACTAGTGATCAGAAATGTACAGATTGAGGGCTGGGGAGATAGCTTAGTGGATAAAGCACTTACCTCTAACCAGAGGTGGAGCTCTCTGTCCTGTATGATTACACCTGGCAGTCACTTCCCAAATTACCACTCAGAGGCTTATATTAATTATAAGTGCTTGGTCAATGGCTCAGGCTTATTACTAGCTAGCTCTTGCATTTAAATTAACCCATATTTCTTATCTATGCTTGCCGTGTGGTTTGTAGCTCATTACTTCATTTTCTACATGTCTTATTTCCTCAGGGGCTGGCTGGCATCTGCCCAGACTCTGCCCTTCTTCATCTCCATCCTCAGTTTGATTGTACTGCCTAAAACTGCTTTATTATCAACCAATGAGAGCAACACACATTCACAGCATACAGAGGGATCATCCCACAGCATTTACCTTGCAAGCAGGAGGACCAGAGTTTGGATCCCCAAACCCCTTGTAAAAGTCGGCCAGGTGTCATGGGGTCTGTAATGCCAGTACTGACTCAGAAGGCAGACAAAAGGGATCCCCATGGCAAGCTGGCTTGCTAGACTACCCAGAATCACCAAACTCCAGGTTCAGTGAGAGACCCCCCATGTCAAAAAATAAAGTGGAAAGTGTTGGAGGAAGACACTTGATGCCAACTTAAGGCCTCTACATATGTAAGAATGTGCACATGCACCCTTACACTTACATGCACACATGTGCACATAGGCATGCACACCACACACAGATACACATGCAAAAAAAAGCATGCAGCAGGGCGGTGGTGGCACACACCTTCAATCCCAGCACTCTGGAGACAGAGGCAGGTGGATCTCTGTGAGTCAGCCTGGTTTACAGAGTGAGTTCCCGGACAGTCAGGGCAGTTACACAGAGAAACCCTGTCTTGAAAAACAAAGACAGCCGGGCGGTGGTGGCGCACGCCTTTAATCCCAGCACTCGGGAGGCAGAGGCAGGTGGATCTCTGTGAGTTCGAGGCCAGCCTGGTCTACCAAGTGAATTCCAGGAAAGGCGCAAAGCTACACAGAGAAACCCTGTCTTGAAAAAAAGAAAAAAAAAAAAAAAAGAAAAAGAAAAACAAAGACAAAACAAACAAAATAGTGAACATGGGATCATCATGAAAATCTACTGTATTATAAATGTTGTTATCTGTAAGTTTTATGACAATTGTGTGTGTGCATGTGTGTGTTCTTGTGTGCTTGCAGAGTCCAGAGGATGCTAGTGTTCTGCTCCACTAGTCTCCATTTATTCCCTTGAGACAGGTCTCTCAACAAACCTGGATCAAGGCTGGCAGCCAGGAAGGCCGAATAATCTTCCTGTCTGGATCAACTCCTCAGTGCTGGGGTTGCACAATACTCCATGTGGCCATGCCCAGTTAAAAAAAAAAAAAAAAGAAGCCAGGTGGTGTGCCTTTAATCCCAGCACTTGGGAGGCAGAGGGAGGTGAATCTCTGTGAGTCTGAGGCCAGCCTGGTCTACAGAATGAAATGTGTGTGAGACTGAAGAGATGACTCTTCAGTGGTTAAGAGCACTTGTTCTTGCAGAGGACCCAGGTTCAATTCCCAGCATCTACATGGCAGTTCACCACTGCCCATAACTCCAGTTCCAGGACATCTGCTACGTTCTTCTGACCTCCCTGGACACCAGGCACATGGGGGATGGGGATCTGATGTCCCTGTGGGCATCAGAGAACAACTTCGTGAAGCTGATTCTCTTCTTCCACTTTAGCATGACTTCCTGGGCTTGAACTCTGGTTGCCAGGCTTGCTCAGCAAGGCCCTGTACCCTCTGAGCCATCTCACTGCCCCTATAAAGGGCGCCTTCGTACTCCTTCACAGGGATTTGCAAAGTATATTTAGCTGATTTTTACTGACGGACACGTGAACATATACGTTGTTTTTCACTGTTGTGAGCACCACCACAGAAAACAACCTCTGCATGTACATCCTTGTACAAATGTCCTGGGATAGATTCCTCAAAGCAGAACTGCTCGGTCAGGTTTCCATGCATGGTATACAATAATTATATAATAATGTTATACCGGTTCCCCTGAGGATTATAACCATTTATGACACCATGAATAATGTACAAAAATACTGCACAGAAGCACCCATTTCTCAGAAGCCTCATTAACACCAGATATTAATCAGTCTTTATTCAGTCATCGGCCCATGCGTACTATTTTATGCAGAAAAGAATACTATCCACCAAACAGCAGAAGGCGTCTATAGTTACGAACTAGCTGAGCATGGTGGCTCACACATTATTAGTATGAAAAATAAGTGTTCTAAAAGAAGGAAGGATGTGTACTGATGAAACTGGAAGGTGGTGTCTGGGGATCTTGGCTTTTCAGAATGCAGGAGAGACTTCCATGTCTAAATACTGAAGGGACTGGGGTTTGGAGCACCAAGGTCCTTGAGGAGGTGGAGCTCCTGGATGCAGGGCTCAGGTGGAGGGATTAAGTGCCGGAAGGAGGAGAGGATGAGGGCAGTTAAAAATAAGTCAGGGTGGTAGTGGGGGACAGGAAGTTGAGGGGGCTTCAGCTGATGGCTTCGATTTTTCACTGTCAAGTAGGAGTGAAGTTCTCCGTGGGGAGAATGAGAGAGGAGGGAGACAAAGGTAGGAAACAGAAGAGCCCTGACAAGGACAGCCCGGGACTCCCAGCCCAGGGGGTGGAGAAGGATGGCAAGGTTAGAGCCTGAGTTGCCATGGCAACTGTCTGCAGCTTGAGCTCACACTGTCTTCATCTGTGCTCAAGTGCAGGGGTGAGAGAGCAGACAGGGAGAGCTAGGTCCCGGGTTTCATCAAGAGGGCGAGTTGAAGATGACGGGAATAAAAGAGAATTAGATTGGGTCATCCAGATTCCAGGGAGAAGGATGTAAACCCACAAAGCCATAGGCCGATTAGGAGAATGAAAGCATCCCTGGGAAGACAAAGAGACAAAGAGCAAGGAAATAGAGGTGCAGGAAATGCAGTCACAGGAATAAGCTGTCAAGTTGAAGGTTAAGGGGGTAGGGACTGGAGAGATGGCTCAGTGGTTAAGAGGGCTAAGAGCACACGCTGCTCTTCCAGAGGAGTTAAGGATAGGAACATGGTTCTGCTCTTCCAGAAGACCAGAGTTCAGATCCCAGCACCTATGTCAGGTGTCTCACAACTGCCTGTAACTCTGGTTCTAGGGGACCAAACACCCCCTCCAAGGACACCATGTGCACAGACACCCCTCCAATTAAAAAATATAAATATAGGAACAGGAATTTCTTCTCTCTTTTTTTTCTTATGGTTAGAAGCCCTCACAGTCATGTTGTGTGAATTCAGAAATGCCTGAAATATTCTGGCCAGTACACATAAGACACACCCTGGGGAGCCCTTGTTGCCAGAAAGTTCTGGAACTTGACTTAGGTCCCTTGAAGTTGATCGCCTTGAAAAACAAACAAACAAACATGAAGTAGATCACTGGAAACTTCTGACATGGAGAGTGATAAAGTCGGCAGCATGAACCTCAGAGAAGAGTTTTTTTTTGACAAAGGGAAGTAGTTATTTATTTGTTTGTTTGTTTGTTTATTTTAACAGAGTCTCAGTATGTAGCTATGGCTATCTTAGAATTCACTGGGTAAATTAGACTGGCCTCACTCACAGAGATTCATCTATCTTTGCCTCTGATTACTGATTAAAAGGCATGTGCCACCACATCTGGCAAAACAGTAATGATTTAAAGTAGTAGCAAAGGGCCAGGCAGCTGTGCACATCTTTAATCCCGACTTGGGAGGCAGAGGCAGGCAAATCTCTGTGGATTCCTGGCCAGCCTGGTATACAGAGCAAGTTCAAGGACAGGTTCCAAAGCTACACAGAGAAACTCTTGTCTTGAAAAACAAAAACAAAACAAAACAAAACCAAAACCAAAAAAAAAGTAGTAATAAAGGTGGGCATCATGGCATACACTTGTAATTCTAGTACACAGGAGGCTGAGGCAGGAGGATTGCAAGTTTGAAACCAGCCTGAGAGACATAGCAAGACCTTGTCTTTGTGGTCATCATCACCATTATTGTAGTTATTAGTATATAGTAGTGAAAGTCATAATAATAAAATAAAGCTGAGGAATGTGACTTAGTAGAATGCTTCTCTACCACACACAAAGCCCTGGGTTCCACCCCCAGCACCAAATAAGTTACAGAAATGGAGAGGGTGAGTGCCGCTGGATGCTCCCCCCTCCTTTGCTCTGCTCTGGTTTTTCTTCTTGGAACTTGGTTCAGTAGCCATCTTGAGCCTGTGAGCACTTTAGCTGTGTATCAGAGATGCCAGGGCAGGCAGTGTTGTGTAACAGTTTCCTCCCAAATTGTAACATTCCAGCCTACAGGGGAGCTCCTTAAACTCAAAAATAAACAACTCAAAGTAACTTCAGGAAGTTCCTGAAATTGACCAGATTCACTAGACACCCCTCCCACTTCCCCACTCCCCCCCCCCCAGATTAAGTAGTAAAAACAGAGTTTGCTCAAAAGAGCAGCCAAGCGGTACAGAAAACCCTCAGACCAGACCAGCTTCCCCCAAAGAAGCAGAAACCAGCTGAGCTGCCTAGAAGGGATTTAAACCAACTGAGGCACATGGAAAGGACCCTCTCCAACCTCTTGAGTTGCCAGTAGGCTGTGCAGTGTGCTCCAGGTTCCCATCTTTGTGAGCTGTCATCCTTGCTAGGGTGGTGATGCAGCTGTCTTTGAGTAACCCCTCACCCATATTCCTGTAATCCAGTGGTTCTCAACCTTCCTAATGCTGCGACTTTTTTTTTTAAGATTTATTTATTATGTATACAGTATTCTGCCTGCATGTATCCCTGCAGGCCAGAAGAGGGCACTAGATCTCATTACAAGTGGTTGTGAGCCTCCATGTGGTTGCTGGGAATTGAACTCAGGGCCTCTGGAATAGCAGTCGGTGCTCTTAACCACTGAGCCATCTCTCCAGCCCGCTGCGACTCTTTAATACAGCTCTTCATGTTGTGGTGACCCCCGACCATAAAATTATTTTCATTGCTACGTCATAACTGTAATTTTGCTACTGTTATGAACCATAACGTAAATATGTGTGTTTTCTGGGGGTCTTAGGACCACCCGTGAAAGGGTCCTTTGACCCCCAAAGGGTTTGCAACCCACGGGTTGAGAATTGCTGTGTAAGTAACCCCAATAAAACTTATTGTTCACCAGCTTGGACTTGGTGTCATCTGTACTATGGTGTGCCGTAGGCTCCCTGTCTGGGGTGAGTAGACGTGTGTGGCATCTCCCCTGGAAAAGTTTGTCACACGACAGGCAGAAAGGCAGGATGACCACATGTTGGTCACTTTCTGCTCAGATGAAATAACTGAGAGAATCAACCTTCAAGGAGAAGAGGCTTTATTTGGCGCCCAGTCTGGGAGAGTCCAGGGCATGAGCTCTTGGCCCTTTGGCTTTGGGCTTGTGGTGAGGCAGCATATCTTGGTGGTGGAACAAACCCATTCACCTCATGGCAAGAGAACAAAAGAGGAGAGACCTGTTTCCGACACGCCTCTCTAAGGAACTCTGTCTCAGCCATCTTATTTTCCAGAACTAGTTCTCCTGTAGCCCAGGCCGGACAGGGATCTTGCTACATAGTCAAGGATATCATTGAATTTCTGATATTTTACGTCCACTACCTCCGTGCTGGCATTACAGGTGTCTACCGCCACACCCAGTTTTTATTCAGTGCTAGGGATCAAACCCAGGGCTTTAGGCATTCTAGGCAAGCAATCTACTAAACACTGAGCTCATCCCTGCTCCTTTATTGGTTTTTTTTTGGGGGGGGGGGAGGTCATTGTCTCACATAGACTTGCTATATAGCTGAGGATAGCTTTGAACTTATCCTGTGCCTTTTCCTCCCAAATGCAGCAACTACAAGGCTCCCACACCAGGCCTGGCTCAATCCCTACCTCTTTTGTTTTATTTAATTTGTTATTATGTGTGTGTATGAGGGACTGAAGGTGTGCTTGTGCCGTGGAGAAAGTCAGAGGATGACTTTCAGGAGTCAGGTCCCTCCTTCACCTGTGAGTTCCAGGGCCTGCGCCCAGCTTGTTCAGCGTCCGTGGTAGTCACTCTGACCCCTGAGCCATCTCCCCCGGCTTGCTCGCCCTAGTCCTTGTTTGTATGTCTGTTTATTGAGACAGGGTTTCTCTGCACAGCCCTAGATGTCCTGGAACTCATTCTGTAGACCAGGCTGGCCTTGAACTCAGAGATCTGCCTGCCTCTGCCTCTGCCTCCTAGAGCTGGGATCAAAGGCTTGTGCCACCACCACCCCGCTGCAGGCCCTCGTCTTCATGGCCTTTCTATTTCCCAACAGGGCCACCCTGGGAACCAAACTTTGAGACATATGGGCCTTTTGGGGGATATTCAAGATGCACGCTCTAGCAGATCACAGGTTCTTGCTGTTCTAAGAGGTGCTCCAGCCCTGTTCTGCCAATCTCAGGATTTAACAAGTAAGAAAAACATCCACAGTGTGCTGTTTGCTTAAGCTGCTGTTAATTGGGCATTCTGTTGACTGCAGCTGAATGCATTCCTGTCTGATAGAGTCATAGGGCCAGCTAGGAGCCCAGGCGAAGCTAAACCCAGGTTTTCACCCTCGCAGTCTGGAATCTTTCAAGGGCAGCAATGGTTCTAAGTGTGGTCCCAGGCAAGAAGCATCAACACATCCTGGGAAGTTACCACAGTGTTTGGGACTCTCCACTCCAGGGGCCTGGGCGTGGGACCTAGCAACCCGGTCTAAGGGGCCCTGCAGGTGAGTGCAGCACCTGAAGACTGAGAGCCACAGTCTCCAGCTGCGCTCTGCACTGTGGGCTTCTGCACCAGCTGTGGCAGCATCATCTAGCATCCTGAAACTGCCATTTCTCAGAGCCACTGCAGACCTCCTGACTCTGAATCTGAATTTTTAGGAGATCCATGGGTCTCATGCACACTCACTGTACCACAGTAATTTGTTTGTATTTGAGACAGGGTTTCTATGTATAGCCCTAGCTATTCTGGAACTCTCTAGACCAGGTTGGCCTCGAACTCACAGAGATCTGCCTGCCTCTGCCTCCTGAGTGCTGGGATTAAAGGCGTGTACCAGTACTGCCAAGTGTTCCCCTCCCCCTTTTCAAGACAGGGTTTTGTGTAGCCTAGGCTGGCCTCCAACTCACTATGTAGCTAAGGATAACCTTGAGCTCCTGAGACTCCCACCCAACGTAGGGATATAGGTTTGTGTCACTTTGCCTGACTGACTATGAATACTTAAGAAGTTGGTTTTGTAAAAAATTCTTTTCTTTTCATTTATGTGTCTGTGTGGTCCTGCTGTTTCCAGAAGAAGGCATTGGATTCCCTGGAGTTTTGCTTACAAACCAATCAGGATACATGATGTGGGTGCTAGGAACCAAACTCAGGTCCTCCACAAGAGTAGCAAGCTCTCTTAAACACTGAGCCATTTCTCCAGCCCCCAAGAAGTTATTATTTTTTTAATCTATCAAAACCCAAATTGATGTCACATGAAGACTAGTCCCACAAGTTGTCCTCTGACCTCCATGTGCACACCATGGCACATTCACTTACATACAAACACACACAAAATAAATAAATGTGGTTTAAAAAAAAGAAAAAAAGAAAAGCTAGGCATGCCTTTAATCTCAGCACTTGGGAGGCAGAGGCAGGTGGATCTCTGTGAATTTGAGGCCAGCCTGGTCTACAGAGTGAGTTCTACGACAGCCTGGGTTGTTACACAGACAAACCCTCTTGAAAAAACAAAAGAGGTAGAGGTATTGGAGAGATGGTTTAGTAGTTAAGAAGGATTACTGATCTTGCAAAGGACCCCAGTTCCTTCTCAGCACCCCTGTTGGGTGTCTCACAACTGCCTCTAACTCTATCTCTAGACAATCTTACCCCCTCTCTGCCAACCTAGGTACCAGGACACATGCGCACAGATATATACATGCAAACACATTCACTAAGACATACACACACACACACACACACACACACATAAATATTTTTTAATTAAAAAGAAAAGAAAAGAAAAACCAGCTTGGCTTGGTCGTTCACAATATTAATCCCAGCATTTGGAAGGCAGAGGCAGGTGGATCTCTGTGAATCTGAGGCCAGCCTGGTCTACAGAGTGAGTTCCAGGACAGCCAGAGCTACATAATGAGACCCTGTCTCAGAATAAACAAGAATTGTATAATTTTACCTTGTACACACTTTTTTTGTTTGATTTTTGATTTTTTTCAAGACAGGGTTTCTCTATGTTGTCCTGGCTGTCCTGAAACTAGTCCTGTAGACCAGGCTGGCCTTAAATGCATAGAGATCCCTGCCTGCTTCTGTCTCCCTAGTGCTGGGATTAAAGGCATGAACTACCACTGCCCAGTAGATTTTCAAAATTCTTTAGTTGTACCCGACGAAAAAGTAGCTTTCGAGGGGCTGGTGCCGCTTCTGTCATTCCCTGCCTGGCCTTTGTGTAGAGGGGGGATGGATCTGTCTGCTCTGGTGCAGCCAGCTTGCATCCTGCTGTTGATTCATTGGAGGGGCAGTGACAGCGTGCTACAGCTGGACCGACTCAGAGATCATTTATTAATTAGGCCTTCCAGCCCTGCCCCCAGTGTTCACACAGGAAATGATGTCATACTACATTCCAAGGAAAGCAGGGATGCCCTGGATGGGCTGCTAGAGGTGGCAGCCATGCAGGTGAGGGGTCCCAGTGTCACTCAGAAGCCCAGTTCACCTTGTCATTGTGAAAGGAAAAGGGACTTTTTTTTTTCCTGGACAGGATGTCATGTAGCCTAGGCTGTTTAACCTCCCGGTCCTCCTGCCTCCTCCCCTCAAGTGCTGTGATTACAGTACTGTGCCCACCACGCCCAGCTATTGTGGAGATCAGTAGCTGCAGTCGGCTTCCCTAGAGATGTAGCTACTTACCTACGCTGCCTGAGACTTTGGCTGTTGACCTTGGAGCACAGCAGGTCTGCCTCGTAGAGACTGTCACAGTGGCTCTGTGACTCCTCTGCAGAGTCCCCCAGTGAGAGCTGTTTCAATCTGCACACTAGTGACCGAGCAAGCCAACTAGGAGATTTCCAGGATGGACCAACACCAAACAGCTTGAAACTGATCCCTGGTTGAATCATCCTGTGCTCTCATGAGGACCTGATAAACCAAGGGACCCTGGAAACAGAACCGCGTGCAGGACTCTTGTCTTCCGATGCACAGGCTCATGGTTCTGGAGCGACACACACGTGGCCTGAAGCGTTTTCTACTGTGGAAGCCAAGTGTTCTCACGTGTTAGAACCCAAGTGATTTAACCTTACGTTCCCTCATCTGACAGGCTTCCTCCCCCAGAGCCTTTCTAGAAGTGTCTGGGGCTACAGGAAAAAAAAAAATCTTATGCTCCCTGTTGGCTTTGCACTTGCTAATGTAGAGATGTCTTGTTTTGTGTTATTTTATTTTTGATTTTTTGATTTTTCAAGATAAGATTTCTCTGTGTAGTTTTGGTGCCTGTCCTGGATCTCGCTCTGTAGCCCAGGCTGGCCTCAAACTCACAGAGATCCGCCTGGCTCTGCCTCCTGAGTGCTGGGATTAAAGGTTTTCAACACTGCCGCCCAGTATATTTTATTTATTTATTTGGTTTTTTTTGAGACAGGGTTTCTCTATGTAGTTTTGGTGCCTGTCCTGGATCTTGCGCTGTAGACCAGGCTGGCCTCAAACTTATATTTTACTTTTTTAAAGGAAGAAATGAAGCCTTTTGTTTATAGACAACATGACTAGGGAGGGTTTGGAGAGATGGCTCACCAATTGAGAGCACTGGCTTGCAGGACCTGGGTTGGATTCCCAGCATCCACACCACAGCTCACAACTACTTGTAACTACAGTTGCAGAGGACCCGATGTTGTCTTCCGGCCTCTGAGGACACCAGGCAAACATATGGTACACTTACATGCATGCAGGCAAACACTCGTGCATAAAACATAAATCTTGAGGGGAAAAAAAAAGGACATGGTCGTAAATAGAGAATCCTGAAGCACACTTTATTCTGTATAAAATAACTTTTCTTAGCCCTTATGTATTACAACCAGGTTAGGAATGTAGCTCAGTGGTTACAGCATTTGCCTGTATGTACAAGGCCCCGAGTTTAGTCTCTGCCACTACCAAAATTAATCCATAAATCAGTAATAAATAAGCATTATAAGGACAAAGAGTATTATTGAAGTATGTCTAGAAAATAGAGGAAGGCTGGAGAAGCCTTGGTGGTTAGGAGCACTGGCTGCTCTTCCAGAGGACCTGGGTTCTATTCCTAGCACCCATATGGCAGCTCACAACCATTTAACTCCAGTTCCAGGGCCTCCAAGGGCACCAGACATGCATGTGTTGCACCCACAAAACCACCCGTACATTAATAAAATAGTTCTTGAAAATGTAGAGAAAACATAGAAGAGCAAGGACAGAAAATGACAACCTGGAGGATTCGTGGTGGCTTCTGGGAGTGCGTAACTGTCCTCTTTAGTACTTAAGGACTCACACAGCCCGAGCTGGTGTTAGACTAACTGTAAATCACAGGTATCGATGCTTGTTCATCAGGACTCAGGGTGACCACTGAGTTGCTGGCAGGAAGACTTCCATTGTAGCTCTGTTTTAAAGACAGCTTTTGATTGTTGTTGTTATTTTTGTTTAGTTTTGTTGAAGCAAAGTCTCTTGTAGTTCAGTCTGGCCTTCAACTCTGCACATAACTGAGGCTTGCCTTGCACACGCCATCCTCCTGCCTCTACCTCTCAAGTGCTGGGATTCAAGGCATTTGCCACCATACTTGGCTTGTTTGAAAGAAGACATTATGATGGGTTCATTTTATGTATATCTAGATTTGGTTCCTCTAATGATGTCTTTGTTCCTTCAATTCTCTATAAATGCATGTATAGCTCAAATGTATAACTGTGCATGTATAGCTCTGCTTGTATAGTTTAGATGTATAACTGTGCTTCTGACATTGAATTGGGTTGGAAGGTCTTAGGCCATAAGGAATTTGCAAACTCCTGATGTGCACTAAGTAGCGCAGGGCCAGCATTGCACAAGGTAGGTCCCCTGAAGCAGAACATCCCGAGGGCCTCTGTGCTCTTCTGGGATGCATCTCAATCTTACAATAACAGACTCTTCTAGAGACACAACCCCTTATTTTGCAGACCCCTGCACCCCTAATCAGTCTTAAGTGTTCCCCTCCTGGTTCCTCTGGTATCTTGTCCACGGTATCTTGTCCAACCGCCTCGTGAGAGCCTTAATCACACAGTAACAGGATGAGTTATTTACAGTCAGGAGAACAATGGGCAGAGGAATTCTCTGGCTGGGATATCTTGCCCATCTTTGCTGTCTTCAGCACTTAACAGGTGTCTACAAATTAGCAGCCTCTCAATAAATATTTGTTGGAATGAATGAATGATGAAACTTGAGTCAGGGACAGGAAATGACCTACCCAAGATCACAAATCTAGTTAGTAACAGCTTTCTGAGAGCAAGATTACCAAGACAAGTTATTTATTTATTGGTTTTTAGAGACAGGGTTTCTCTGTGTAGTCCTGGCTGTCCTGGAACTCGCTTTGTAGACCAAGCTGGCCTCGAACTCACAGAGATCCGCCTGCATCTGCCTTCCAAGTGCTGGGATCAAAGGCATGTGCCACCACTGCCTGGCACCAAGACACTTTAATTGAACTCTACTATTTGAAACTGAGTTGTAAGGCTGGATATGGTGGTATTCACCTGCAATCCAGCACTTGAGGGGCTGAAGAGAAGAATCTAAATGTCAGGTCAGCCTGGGGTACACACATAGGGACCCTGTTTCAAGGAAGGAAGGAGGATAGGGAGGAGGAGAGCAAAAAATGTCATAGTAAGAGGCTAGAATTGGACCATGTCTTGGATATTCATTTGTTTATTTTGGTACAGGGTCTACTATGTAACCCCAGCTGGCCAAATGTACACCAGGCTGACCTCAAACTCACAGAGATCCACCTGCCCCTGCCTCCTGAGTGCTGGGATTAAAGGTGTGGCCATCATGACTAGTTCGACTCTATCTTGAAATACAATTTTGGTGGCAGGATTTTTCACAGAATTAGAACTTTGTGAGATGGGTGTAGTGGCTCATACCTGTAATCCCAGCATTTGAGAAGGCAGGAGGAGTACAGTGAGTTAGAGGCCAGCCTGGGTTACATCGTGACTTCCAGGGCAGCCTAGACTGTAGAATGAGATCCTGTATCAAACAAATAAAAATGAAGAACTGGGTTGGCACTGGAGAGATGGCTCAGTGGTTAAGAGCACTTGTTCTTGCAGAGGGCGGGGTTCAAGTCTCAGCACCCACACTGCAGGTCACAACTGTCGTGAACTCCAGTTCTAAGAATTTTAAAGTGCCCTCTTCTGACCTCTGAGGTCATCAGGAATGTGATGCACAGACATACATGCAGGCAAAATGCTCATAAAATAAAACATTTCTAAAAACCGTGTTGTTAGCAGGGGTGGGGGGTTGGGGGGTTGGGGGGGTGAGGGGGTTGCCCGCCTTGTCATTCTAGTAACTCTGAAGGAGGAGGCAAGAGAATCAAGCATTCAAGGCTGTAGTTCTAGAAGGAGTTTGAGGCCAGGCTGTGTGGGCAGCATGTGACTCCCCCCTCCAAAATAAAAGTTACCGGGTGGTGGTGGCACATGCCTTTAATTCCAGCACTCAGGAGGCAGAGGCAGGTGGATCTCCGTGAGTTAAAGATCAGCCTGGTCTACAGAGCTGGACAGAAAGAGAGAGCTACACAGAGAAACCCTGTCTCGAAAAACAAAACGAAACAAAAAACCAAAAACAAACAAACAAAAAACAAAAAAAAACACATTAAAAATAAAAAATAAAACATGACCTCTTGGACCGGTCTCTACCTGTAGGAATAGAATAGGTCCATATTTGTGGAAGGAGCTACTGGGCTCCTCACAAGTGGGAAAGTTCCCCAGAGGGGTGTAGTTCAGTAGAGTGAATGAATTGTTCTTTCTGGTTTGTTTTGTTTTGTCAAGGGGTCTCATGGAGCCCATGTTGGTCTTGAACTGCTGTCCCTCCTGCTGCCGCCTCCTGAGTTCTAGAATTATAGGTCCCCATCACCACCAAGCTTAGCTTAGAGGCTAGCTGAATTAGAAGGCTGCCAAACCTTGGATAAAGGGGGCACTGCCACCGTCCTTGAGGGCATCGGTTGGAGACGGCTGGACTAAGCCTCTCTGTCTGGTGAGCACCCTGGCTGGTGCCAGAAGCTCCTTTGGTTTTGCTGAGGCGCACAGAGTTGGAGTAGGATGTCAGCGTGGGAGAATCCTGGTAGCTGTGGCCTTTGACGAGGTCAGAGTGACCCAGAAAATGTAATCTGGCCAGTGGCCAGGTGGTAGACCTCACTGAGCTCAGCAGAGACTTCCCAGAATACAGATTCCAGAAAATTTGCTCCAAGAATGTGCAGGTGCCCATGCTTGCTGGTTCTTTTCCAGTGGGAGGGCATGAGAGACTGAGGCAGAGGAGACAGCACGCAGAGCAGTGTGCTGGCTGGCT